GGTTTGGGGTTTAGGGTTTAGGCTATGGCGGATTTCTAGAACAACCCTCAACCCCAAGACCAAAACCCCAAACCGCAACGCCCTAAGCCCTAAACCCTAGACGTCAAAACCTAAACTCAAAGTCTGATATCCAAGACCCTGCTCCCTAAATTCAAAACCCAAAAACCCCAAAGCCCGAGCCCCACCTCCGCCAGCACTTTTAGGGTTCAGGGTTTAGGGTTTAGGGTTTAGGACCGCTAAACCCCTAAGCCGAAAACCTAAGCACCACCAGCACATGGAGTCTGTATGCGCGGCCTCGTTCGACACAGTCCTAAGCCCAACAAACAGATTCGCGGCTGAGGGGTTTGAGGTTAATCTTAGGGTTTGGGAGTTTTTTGGAGGAAGCTCACAGGTTACATAAGATTCAAACTTTTGGTCGTAGCGGCTTCAGTGTTTAGGGTTTCGGGTAACATTTTGGTTTTCGGGTCTCAGGACTTGGCATCTCAGGGTTTTGGGTATGGGGTGGTAAAGCTTAGCCGTTAAGACTTGGAAGTGTTGAAACCCCTAAACCCCTAAACCCAAAACCCTAAACCCTTTGTAACAACCTATAACTTGAACTAGTAAGGCTTCTGCCTTACTTGGCTTGCAGGTTTAAGGTTTACGGGGGTTTAGGGTTTAGGGTAGGGTTCAAAGGGTTCGGACTTTTTCCCTAGGGCTTCGGCTGCTTAAGGCTGTGCGCGTCGGAGTCTTACATAGGTTCAAGTTTTGCGAGTTCCGGCTCAAGATTGGGGTTGGCCCGAAACCCTAAACCCTAAATCCTAAACCCTAAACCCTATAAACCCTAGTTAGGGTCTAGGGTGTCGGTTCAACGGGGTGTTCAACACATGAAAGCCGATGCATTTGCCTTTGCACCGTGTTCCGAGAACCTGCCACGTGCATCTCCTCTTCTGAAAGAGGGTTTAGGGTTTAGGGGTTAGGGTGTAGGGCTTAGCGTTCAGAGCATAAACCCCCAATGGTTCAAGATTTACGGTTTGAGGTTGGTCGAAACCTTCCAAACCCTAAAAACCCCAGTGCCGAAACCCTGAAATCCCCAAACCCTAAACCCTATAAACCCTAAACCCTAAGCTCAATGCCCGGGGACCGGAAAGGAGCTCTCTGCAGAGACCGCAATGGCTGCGATGGCACCAGCAGCTGCACGTTTTCGCATGGCTCTGGGCTCTCGATTAGGGTTTACGATTTTAGGGTTTAGGGTTTAGACTCTCACAGGGGAAATAGAACAGGGCTTCTTTGAAGGATTTCTTTAAGGTATATATATATATATGTGGGTGCTGGGGTTTCAAGCAGGGAACAAGCGGCAGGGCTGTGGGGGGGTGTAGGGGCTGAAGCTTTAAGGGTTTAAGGCCTTCAGAAATTCAAGGTTTGGAGAGGGTAGGTTATTTAGGGTTTAGGGTTTCGGGTTTAGGGTTTAGGGTTTAGGGTTTAGGGTTATCTAGGCTGCTACATAATTTAGTGAATCGCCCTCGCATGGATTTGAAGCATCAGCTGCTCGGAGGCCATGCGAAACACATCTCTTGGGGCTTTTGTTTGGGGTTTGGGGCTTTTGGGGTTTTTGGGGGCTTTTGGGGTTTGGGGT